CATTCAATTTATATTTATATTTATAATTTATTCATATTATTTATTTATTTATTTATTTATTTATATTATTCTACTTTTTCTATTTTTCAATATCATCTCTTATTCATATATATTTTTTTCATTTTAATTATTTATTATTTTATTATAAATTTATAATGGATTTCTGAAATGATGCATTCGGAGGATCATCCTCAAATGAGTTTTACGTTCCATCCACCGAAGAAATGGAAGGATTCAATCCATTTTCACCATTTCCTCCAGAGATAGCAACTGCAATTCAACAACCACATTCGGCCGGAATGAGGTGTAGCTAAACACAAGCGAGCTGCGACTCAAAGAGCATGGGCATGACCCAACCCCCACGACCGTCAAAGAGGGTCGTGTCCGATGTATGACAACACTTCACCAAATCAAAATGGCCAAAGACAAATGGGGAGGGGGAACAATCGTGTGGGGTATGTAATTTCTGTGGAACCATTATTGGCTCTGAGAAAGAGACTTCGACGATACGACAACACTTGGAGAAGAAGCACCCTCAAATAATGCAGTTGTCTGGTACATCTTCAACTGGATCAGGTAGGCAAATTCAAATTCAACTTAATTTTAATCTACAATCCTTAACTCTCTCAACATGGCAATACAATGCACATGTTGCACGAGAGGAAATAACAAGATTCATAGTTGCTACGGACTCTCCTATTTGTTTATCTGAAAATCCTTATTTTATTCACATGATTAAAACTGCATTTTGTCCAACATATACCATTGTTAGTAGAAGTACAAGTAGAAGAGATATACTAAAACTTTATAACAAAATAAATAATAAACTTAAAAACAAATTTCAAAATTTTAAGAATATATCTATTGCACTTACATCAGACATATGAACTTGTAGATCAAAAACAGATTTTTTAACTGTCATAATACATTTCTTATATCATAGTTGGGTTTACAACAAAAATTGATGGGTTTTAAACCATTATATGAAAAACATAGTGTTGACACTATTTATTTTACAATTCTTGAAGTTTTGCAAGAATATGTATTAACTGATAGAGTTGTAGCGTTAACGCTTGATAATGCAATTGCTAACACCGTGATAATCTCTTTATTTGAAAAGAGGTTGAATCCGCGTGGTGAAAACAATTTTTTTCACTAGAGATGTGCTTGCCACATCATCAATTTTATTGTTAAAACAGGTTTAGATGTTATACATTCGAAGATGGAGAGGGTGCACACGACTATCGGATTTATCGTCGGCGGTAGCAATAAAAATGGCAAGAGTACGTCAAATATTATAGGCAAGAGGACTCACCGGTTTGACCTTTGAAGTTATGTACATACATGTCTATTTGTTGGAACTCCACCTACTTAATGTTGGAAAAAGTTTTGCCAACCACAAGACAAATTACAGATTTCGTCAACCGGAAGAACCATCCAGAGGAAGTTGTCATCTATGATGATTGGGCGGTTTGTGAATTTTTTTATTCATTTCTTAAATTTTTTTATGATTCCACTAATAAATTAAGTGGTATTTATTATCCGACCACTAATTTAGTGTTAGATATTTTACTTCAAATTTCTAAAACTTTTACTAAATATAGATATAATGACGTTTTAATAGAAATTATTTTAAAGATGGAAGAAAAATACGAGAAATATTGGTTAGATATTCTATTCTTATATGGATTAGGCTTTGTTATAGATTATAGGTTTAAATTACATGCAATTAACTGTATAATTATTAAAATAGGCCAGCATTTAGGACATGATTATATGTCTTATTTGATTGATTTTAAGCAAAAATTGGAAAACTTTTTTTCTTTATATCAGAACAGGTACAATGGAAGTGGAAGTGGAACATTCAGGAGAGACAATTAGGACCCTGATGAAGACCTCCATCAAGGATTGAGCATATGGACGTCTATGAAACATGACGAAAGTAACAGCTCCAGCTTGTACATATATGAACCAAATGAGTTGAATCGCTACCTACAAATGGACCTATCCTACATGACGAAGAAGGAGAAACGTGAGATGAATTTGCTTTAATGGTGGAACCAACATCAAAGTTGATTCTCCATTGTAATCCAAATGGCACGTGACATTTTATCTGTACCGGTTTCTATAATTACATCCGAGTCAGCATTTTCAATGAGTGGCCAGATTGTTAAAGACAAAAGATGCTCTTTAACTGATGAGATGATTAAAATGATAACATGTTTATGGAATTAGACTCATGCAAAGAAAAGACTACAACAACACCCTAAAAATTCCAAACTACTTAAACTTTTGAAAAACACATATTTTAATGATTTAAATATTATTGAGAAGATGAATAATTTAATAAAAAAATTATTTAATTATTTATTTGTGAAACACGAATATATAGATATTACAATTATGTTAAAATTAACTATTCATTAATTTATTATTTTTTAAAATCAATTAAACTTTTAAAAATTTCCTAATCTACCTCAAAATTACTAAAACCCTTTACAAAAATTTATTTTGCCCCAAAATATAAAAAATGATAGGGGAAAAAAAAATTGCAGCCCACATATGACATAACCGGTCCTAAAAGTGCTCAAGCCTAGGACCAGTCTTAGTCCATAAGCGATTGGTCCCCAATGGACCAGTCCCGAACCTGCTTAGAACCGATTTTAACTAGTTCTACTTATTGCAAACTAACCGATCATAAAATTGGGATGTCAAATTGTAAAAAAAACTTTATAAAATTGAGTTGTAAATATAATATTGTCCGATCTAAAATAAAATTTATCAATTTTGTTCATAAAATATAAAAATATCTTTTATAATATAAAATTTTTCGAAAAAAAATCGTTAAATTTATCTAACATTGCTTTACAAAAGTATCATAAATTTAAAACCAGTATTTCACATTTTCTCAGTCTATATAATTAATATTTCTTATTGTTGACAGAAGATGAGATCAGAATCAGATCACGTGAATGCACTATTGAGGAAGTTGCGTATCAGCTGCATGGCCCCCACTTGTATTTTGGTTTTGGACTTTTCCCAACTCCTGTTGGAAAATATCTGTTGCCATAGGGGCTGTAATCGGCTTAAGTGATGCGAGTTCGAGTTCGAGCCGAGCCTCTCGAGCCTTCGATTTTGTGGCTCGGCTCGAACTCGATTATGTGGGGGGCTAATCGAGCTCGAGGGAAGCTCGGGTTTGAGTCCCTACAATTTTAATACATTCTCAGCAACGAAACAAAGCCTAGATGGGCAAACAAAATAACTAAAAATGAAAACGAAAGTTGGTTTCGACTTTGGAGGAAGAGAGAAAAGAATGAAGTAACAATTTGAACAAGAAGCCACCATGAAACTTTGAAAGAGAAGAGGAATGATAATAGTAATACATTATTAGGGGAAACGGTTTGAAGTTACAGCAATTTGAACAAAAAGTCACCATGAGTAGCAAATAACGGAGCAAACACCGGAGACTCCACTGCCATGAGCTTGAAACCTTGCAACTTTGAAAAAGAAGAGAAGAAAACTAAACCTTGAAACTTTGAAAGGAAAGATGTTTTTATTTTTATTTGTAAGAGAAGATATTTTTTCTATCCTTTATTTGTAAGGGAAGAGAGAAAATATTTTTTTATTTTCTCTTTCTTCTCTTACAATTAATGTTGTGTCCTTTTTTCTCCTCTACTGCCACAAAGTGGCAGTCTCGAGCCCACCACTAATTAAATGACTCGTTTTTTGAATTTTTTAGGGGTGTGTTTGTCACTTTTAAAAACAAAAAAATTACATATCACCCCCTATTGTTTCAAATATATCAAATAGACCGAGCTTCCTAAAACTCGCGAGCCTACGAGGAGAGTTCTGGCTTGTTCGAACTTTTACCGGCTCGGCTCGGCTAACACCCCTTTTTTATAATAAAGAAACAAACAAATATCTAATATATAATTTTATTCTATTTAAAATTCAATCTGGCTACTATAATGTAATTATAATTTATATTGATAATTTGTTAGATAATTTTATGTTATTGATATCAATCCAATAAAATCTCAATATGGTGTGATCTACCACTGCTCCTCACAAACACAATCGTACAGCACATGGCTTGTTAATTGGGGGAAGCTGAAATTGACTTGTCAAAGGATTTAATCAGTAATCATTGACTTGTTTTTGGTATTTTCCTATGTTGATGTTAATTTTTGTCAATAATAATTCAACCGTTGATTTTTTTTTTTTTTTTGATTTAAAAAAAAAAAATAATAATGAGGAATGAGATTTGGGACAAGTTGAAGAAAGAGGGAGGAAAGAGAAGATATTAGTATTAAAAAGAGTGAATAATTGAATTGAAGTCCACAAGGACAACTCCCATTATTTCCCACACCTAAGTTACCTAACAAAATCAAAAAGTCCTACTTGTACAAGTAACCAACTATAGCATGCATAATGAATATGTGATGCCAATTGCCAATTTGAAATCCCAAAACTAACCCCAACTATATCTTTTTATTTTCCTTCATCTTTAGATTCCGTATAATCAAAAAGTAGATTCTTAATACCTTTTAAGATCGATTTTATTCCTTAAATTGTTGAGATTTATTTATAAAATTCAATTCCCTTTTAAGTAAGTTTTATAACAGAGTCCTGACTAATTACAGACAAAATCTAAAGGATCCAATTCCAGACTCAACTCTCTCAACAAACCCACATGCCCAACTTTTATAGAACATGCTATCTATCTTCCTCAATAATTTAATCTTTTTAAATGAAGATTCATATAATATTATTTTTAATTATATGATTTTTGTTATATCTTTTTATATTATTAAAACAAAAGATAATTTATTTCATTTGGAGGCATTTTCAAAAAGGTAAAACTTTAATAGATGGTGTTTAAAAGTAATTTTGTGCAACAGGGTGAATGCAGAGGTAACGTTACCCACGTATGAGTAATGATACAGGTGAAAATGTCTATAAAATGGAGCTACGTTAGGCGAGGCTGACGAAAAAAGCGAAGTAAACATTGCATTCATCTATGCAACCCAAGCACAACTCTTCCTTCTCCGCTCCATTCTCCTCCATTCTTTTCATTCTTCCAAAAATTTTCATCTCAAAATCATTCAAAGTTTCACCTTATGAGCTGGTTTGGTAAGCTCCGTTGTTCTTCCAATCTCAGCACCTTCATTGCTGGTCTTCTTATTTTCATTCTCTATCATTCTTTCCAGTTAATTTCTAATTTCTTGATTCCTATACACCCTTAATTTTGTTATTTTTTTTCAATTTCGAAATTCTATTTTTCAATCGATTTCGATTTCAATTCCAAAATCTTTCTCTGTCTTTGATCGCTTCTTTTTCATCCATGGATCATAAACAATCATTCCCCGACAATTTGATGGACGGTTAGTATATTCCTTCTATTTCTTTTAAGATTCTATTTGGTCTCTTTACGTTTCCTTCTGTTACGTTTCTTCTAAATAACATGAGAATTTTGCATTTTTGTTTTGTTTTATTTCATCTCTTCGTTCGTTTGATCATCAAAAAAATGGAAAAGTTAACCCTATGCATTACAATTTTGCGTATAATTGTGATGATGTTAACAATTATTTAATTAGAATTCTGAAAAAATAAAAATAAAAATAAAAAATGGTGATGGCTCATTGGCGGTATTAATTTACAATGTAATTACTTAAGTTTTTGATTTTATTCGTATCAAGCCATATTCAGATCTTAAGATTATGCTGCGAATGAATAAGAATTATTAATCTTCCAATTAATTCTATTTAGTTGATGATTTTTGCTCTGTTACACTGCAACCGTATATTGCTGTTAAGCAATTTCAATCATCTATGGGTTCTCGTTGAGATCCTTTTTGATGGAGGGGAGGAAAGGAATGATTTTTTTTTTTTTTTTTAATTTAATTTTATAGTATGAGCTGACAAATGTTTTTAACTTATATGGCATTTCTCAAACGGCTGCTCTATTTTGTTTTGTTCATTTAATAATTTTGCTACGAGTATATTGTGCACTTTCTAATTCGTGTTCATCCAATCTCTAGACACTATTTCCTCGCTTATTAAGAGGAATAACTCTTCCGCCCCTTCTGTTATTGTGATTGGTGCCGGTATCTCGGGACTTGCTGCTGCCAGGGTTCTCTCTGAAGCATCTTTTAAGGTGATCATATTCGACTATGAGACTATTTTTTACATGTTTCCTGTGCAGGGTTATCCGACAATGGCTTATTTTCATTGTTGTCTACAGGTGATCTTGCTGGAATCGCGGGATAGACTCGGTGGACGTATTCATACGGACTATTCATTCGGTTTTCCAGTCGATATGGGAGCATCATGGAAAGTTAATCTTTTTAAATTTGTTTCCTTGGATGCTATATTTAGGTTGCTATACATTTTTGCAATATATTGTCAGTCATGTTAGGTTTAGATTTTCTAGTATACTTTTCCATTCATTGATGGGAATGATTCTGCTCTCTGCATAATTCTTTTTTCCCTGTTCTTTTTCTTTTTTATACTGCGTATGACCCATTATTGCTCCATATGTTGCCACATCCTTTATTCTTGTTTTAGTCCTATGGTCGTACACAGAGGGCAGGAAAGGCTAAAAAGAGTATCCACCACTATTGTTCCGCAATACAAGAAAAAAAATTAAGTTTTGCTTTTAAGTTGCCTTTGAAATCGTGGGTCATACTTATAATGATTCAAATCAGGCACTTCTGATAAATTGGATGATTCTGCAAATGTCTGTTTATTTTATATTTCTTTTACCATTCACTTGCCGATTGGATCCTCCCCTAGCTAAAAATGGATTGCGTGGATAGATTTCTTGTGCTTATAAATACTCATTACCATTGTTTAAAAATAAAAAATATTTAAGATGAAAATGCTTTTGAATTAGGCTTTATAAGGGAGTTAATATTTGATTTGACTGCTGCATCAATACTTTTCAAGGCTTAAAAGAAAATTCCTATGACTTCTTTTGCATCTTTCTCTTGAGTTAATTAGTTTTATTCTAACAAAGACTACAGAAATATTCCTGTGGTGTCTTGTGATATTTGCTGTCAATGCTCTTATCTTTTTTACTTGAAGAAAAAAAAAATGAAATAACTCACTGTTCCATTATTGAAATCCTTATTTACATCTTTGGTCTTGAAAATTATACAGGCTGCATGGTGTCTGTAATGAGAATCCCTTGGCCCCACTGATATGCTCTCTTGGGCTTACATTATACCGTACCAGTGGTGACAATTCTGTGTTATACGACCATGATTTAGAGAGGTAATGTTCTCCTAGTTTTTGCGTCTGTATTATTAATCAGTGCATTTAATACTATATGAAATAAGTAATGCTTGAGGCAATATTGCACTTGAACCAAGGATATATATTTGTATGCAAGATTATTCTGTGTTTAGTCTGAGCTATTGTCTTGAGGATCTGGGTTTTGTCCTTTCAGTTACACACTATATGATATGAATGGCCATAAAGTTCCACAACAGACTGTCATTGAAGTTGGAGATATTTTCAAGAGAATTCTCAAAGAGGTAGGGTCTACATGGTAAAGTCTCCGACTGTTTATTTTTCCATCTATCTATAAACTATGCTCTGTGACAATTGATTAAACACCTGGTTCTTTCTTGACACTTTTAGACAGAGAAGGTGAGGGATGAACATTCCAGTGACATGTCTGTTCTTCAAGCAATATCCATTGTGTTAGATAGGCATCCAGAATTAAGGTAAGGAGATGAAAATCATGTCGAATATCTGCAAATCACTACACTTTTATTGAGCATGAGACCGATAGCAGCCCTGACATAATTTCCATCCTTTGCAGACAAGTAGGACTTGCCCATGAAGTGCTACAGTGGTACATATGTAGAATGGAAGCTTGGTTTGCAGTAGATGCAGATAAGATATCACTGAAAAATTGGGATCAGGCAAGTGATCTCTGTTTAAGATACTCCTTATGGGCTTTAAACATCTAAATAGACCACCTGATAAATTATACATTTCAGTGTCTTGTATATGGAGCTATCTAGTTTTTCCAATATGTGCCTCTGTAGGTTGTAAGGCTTAAGTCCTGGTTGAGGGAAATGTCTAATACTCATTAACTCTACAAGCCTATGTAGAGTTCTGCCATAGTGCTCCAGATCTAATGTTGTTAGAGATTTATAACCTTTACCTTAGGTTTTAATGCTTGGGTCCCGGTTGATGGAAAAGGCAAATACTCATAACTTTACAAGTCCATGTGGAGTTCTACAGTAGTGCTCTACACTTCAATTTAGAATTTTATATCAATAGTGCTGGTAAATTTATAATGGTGAAACAATTTCAAGCTCTATCAAATGGACTTTTTCCGCTGTTATCTATTTTGTAATTTATTCTGCATGATTTATTCACCATGCTACTCTTGGTCTTGAGCTTCTACGTATAAGTTACCTTAAAATCTTAATGATCATGTTTTTTGAAGCTTTTATTCCTTTTTGGTGTAGATATACATTACGACCATAGATGGAGCTAAGCTAGCATGGGACAAAGAGGCCTTTGCGCTTATAAATTATCAAAAAATACTAACCATTTAATCTATAATGAGTATATACCTGTCAGCTATGAGTATGTCCAAGTGGCATTGGATGGACTTATCTTAAGAACTAATTACATTCTTTTGTTCTTATAAATCACTACAAGAAATTTCATTTTCTGCCAAGATCTCCACTTTGATGCACTTGGCTGAAACAATAATTGATCTTTCACTCTTGCAGCAATCTCCTTCCAAGATACTATACTTTTTTAGGTTGCTTTCAAATAAGAAATGCATGGTAAAGTCTTAAAAGTTGAGTGTTAAACTGAATTGTAATAAATGTACTTTGAATCATAGGGTCAGACTTAGATTATCTTAGCTTCAGAGGAATTCTTACATGTTTAAGGGTAATTCTTAATATATAGGAGGATGTACTCACTGGTGGACATGGACTTATGGTGCAAGGTTATGACCCTGTAATTAAAGCTCTTGCAAAAGATATTGACATACGCCTAAATCACAGGTATGCTCATGTAGTTCATTGGTGATCAATTGCATCTATGCTTTAAACCTATTGCTTCATGTGCCTACCTAAATGGAATTTATTGACGTGGGGATCTATACATAAACATGTTATCTATCTAGATACACTCAATTGACTCCTTTGGGAATTCTTAAGCAGAAAAGGACCTTTTTTTCTGCTCTTTATTAATTTTTTTTTTTTGAACTTTTATATTGACTAATCATTGTGCTTGTCTTTTATAAACATGGTATCTATCTAAAAGAAAAGAAAAGGTTTTGTGACCTAGTACATTTCCAAACCATTGAACCTTTAAAATGCAATCCCAAACTGTTTTAGTCTACTTTATGAAATATTTTCCTCCATTCCTCCATGTCCAGATCCAATTCTCCATAAGGTTCTTTAAACCCCATCATATATACAGTTAATTATGGAACCCTGAGTGTATCTTTTAGGTCTTTTTCATCCCAGCTTAATGTCAGTGATGCTGGGTTTTGGTAACATTCTGATGGATTGAGGTGTCTGATGGGGGTATGTATTGAAGGTAAATGCCCAGTATATTTCAAGAGTGAAATTATAATTGCCATTGTTTATTATTTCTTTTTCCATTATCTTTTTCATTATTTCATCAGCACTATATTCATTCATTATTTTTTAAAAAGATTTCCTTAGAATCTAACAGATACTGAGTTCCTTGATGGATGTGGTTTATTTCCTATGCCATACCAATCATTTAAGATTTAGTTTCTATTGCTCAACTCTTCCATTTTATTTCTTGTTCCCCGGCAATAATTTGATTCAGTTGCAATCACTACATGGGATTAATGTGGTATTTAGTTTTAGGAATTTCATAGTTATTCATGTGGTAGAAAGTCACACCCTTTTTCTTGATGAGGAAATTGAATAGATTTAAGATTCTTTTTTCTTTTGCAAGATTTTGACTGTGTTGACTTTTGATAACTAGGGTTACAAAGGTATCAAATGGTCGTAATAAGGTGATGGTCACGGTTGAGGATGGGAGAAACTTTGTTGCTGATGCTGCTATTGTTACAGTACCTATAGGGATTCTTAAAGCTAATTTAATTCAGTTTGAACCAAAATTGCCTGAGTGGAAGGTTGCTGCAATATCAGATCTTGGTGTGGGCAATGAAAATAAGATTGCCTTACTATTCGATAAAGTTTTTTGGCCAAATGTGGAACTCTTAGGCATTGTTGCCCCCACTTCTTATGCTTGTGGTTATTTTCTTAATCTTCACAAGGCAACAGGTCATCCAGTCCTTGTCTATATGGCCGCTGGAAGGTTTGCTAATGACCTTGAGAAGCTATCAGATGAGTCTGCTGCAAAATTTGTAATGTTGCAGCTGAAGAAAATGTTTCCGGATGCAACTGAGCCGGTAAATTCAGTGTTTTCACATTTATTTTGCTTTATTTAATCTATAAATTCCTGCACCTTGTACTATTTGATTGGAAATTATATTTTGACCATAGTATATGTGATGAGAAGTTCCATCTGTTGGCCAGCCTACACTATCTAATTATTAAGCCCGTCAGAAATCAGATTGTTTCTTAGTTATTTTTTTGTTGTGATTATTACAAAACTCTGAACTAATGCTTGGTTGGTCACTCTGGAACAGGTTCATTATCTTTTGTCACGATGGGGAAGTGACCCAAACTCTCTTGGTTGTTACGCATATGATGTGGTTGGAATGCCAGAAGATTTGTACAAGAGGCTTCAAGCACCGTTGGGAAGTATTTTCTTCGGAGGAGAAGCCGTTAGCATGGATCATCAGGGATCTGTACATGGAGCTTACTCAGCTGGAATTATGGCTGCTCAAAACTGTCAGAGGCATCTCTTAAAGCAACTTGGTAACCTCGAGATGCTTCAACTAGTTTCATATAGGCATGACATTCGCGAAACTGCATTTCCCCTTCAAATCTCCAGGATTTGAAATGCTTGAAACTTTAGGTTTTATTACTTTGTTTTCTAGACTGATGCCAAACTCCATAATCATGAATGCTTAAGTAATTTATTTTAAGATCTTCTGTCTCCTATATTTTCAACGCTCTAATCCTGCTATTCTTTCTAGTTTCAAGTACAACAGAAGACATGAGATGGTATATTTCTTGTGGATTATGAGGTTATTGATTGAAGGTCTGAATTCTTAAAATTTTATTAGTGAATTCTTAAAATTTTATTAGTGAATTCATGCACTCAACCATTTGATTGAGTGAAGAGATTGATTAGGACTTCATAACAAAATATATATTTTTTGTTTTATAAATTATTTGGGATTCAATGAGAGGAAATTAGAAGGAACAAAATAATGTTTTCGTATTTTATTCATTGATTAAGAATTTTGTTTCGTTAGATACTTTGGTTATTACAATAGCACTATTTGATCAATCATAATCAGATTTTATTATTATTATTATTATTATTATTTTCATTGCCCCATAAAAATATGTCTGTTTACTGGACTAACTTTTTATCGTTTTCATTAGAGATTCTGTTGTTCATCGTTGTTGAGGTGTCAAATTATTTTATTTTATCTATTTAGACTTGATCTTATCTGCAACTTGTTTTTAAAATGATGGATAAAGTAATAAAGGAAAATGATAGGAAAAAGGAAAAAAGAAAGGATATGAGGGAACATGAAAGTTTAGATATATTAAAACCAGTGTTTTAAAACGTGGCCTGGGTGGACTGATTCAACCTGTTCGACTGAAACCGGGGGCTGGGCCGAGTTTTAAGAGGTAGAAAATTGGAGCTAGTGGTCAAACCGATTTGACCCCCAGGTGGATTGGTGTTACGATAGCAACCTGCTGTCCAATCGGTTTTGGCACAAATCCGGGTCACTATAAATCTAAATCCCCGACATTTTTTTTTTTTTTCTTCATTTTATCAGCGGCTTCTTTTCTGCACAATCTTCTTCTTTGATCTTCCATTGTTCCACAATCAAACTTCATCTCTTCTTCGATTCAAACAACCACAGTTCTTCCACAATCAAAGTCAAACTTCGATCTTCAGCTATTGGGCTTCTTCAGTTCTTCTTCTTCAATGCGTTCTTCTTCTTCTACAACCAAATCTGTTCCCCAAGGTCTGCATTTGTGTACATGGTTATTTCCAGGATTTTAATCAAATTGAGGAGTTAGGCTGGTCTCCTATTGTTGTTATATATGCTTGCTTGTTTGATTGATGGGTGGTTTAAAATGGTGTACTGAGAAAGCTAAAATGTTGCGCTATCGAATTGAGAGCTGGGTTTGGTTGCTAATCATTTTGATTAGCGTGTGTTGACTGTTGAAGGCCTTAGAAAGGATGGGTTTGAGGTGTATTGAGAAAATGCAGCTTAATGGGAATTGCCGTGATGGGTAAATAAGTAATGATAATTATGCAAGGAGATGAGAAATTGGTTGGAACTTGTGATATATTTAGGGAGATGGAGGATGGGTTTAAAAAAAATATGTTGGATGATGTCACCATGCTAATGTTAGTATGATGATGTCATCGGTCCGAACGATCAATCAAACTGGTTCAATTGGTCAATCCGAGACCCAGCCACCTTGCCAGGTTTCACCTTGAGTCGGATATTAAAACATTGATTAAAAAAACCAATAATTTCACATCTCTCTCTGGCTTTTTGCCTTATCTTTATGGATGCAAGTTGTTGATGCCAAATTCACACCAAACGGGGTTGCTTGTCTTACCCTGAAACATGATGATTTTTCCATCTACCCTTGATTATGGATGTCATTGTATCTTGGAACGCTAGTTGAACAGCCTAGTCCTATCCCTGTAAGAAAATAGCAAAGGCTCTTGTGAAACTACAAGGGATGGAGGCTAATTATGACGGCGGTCAGCTTTAAGCCTTTAATCTCAAATGCTCAAGTGCCAGTCTTTTCCGTATGAATATTGAGTTATTATTCCATGCTTGTTAGCCCCTTTCATATAATGAAATAGAATAGGGCTTCAGTGAATTACTTTCCTTTTTTGAATTGTATCTTGTCAATGTTTACTTTCTAATTTAGTAAACACACCCTAAATACAAATCGGTCGACGATTGGATGGCAGTGACGACACCCCAAATGCAATGTCAATCATTCCTTGAGCTAATTTCCCATAAAATCTCTCCAAGATCTAGCATTGGTCAGATCTCACCGATGTTGGTGTTAACATTCTAGGCCAGATCTCATTGACTCTGGCGTCGACAACCCTCCCCATCACCTTGAAAATATTACTCTCTTCCTCCCGACCAAAACCCACCTCAGCCCATCTCGCCAATTATTGGCAAATATCGGTTGTTGCCACAGCCTTTTTTCAATTTACAGTTGATTCACTCACTGAAAATCAACTCTGTCGCTACCATTGCACTCACCGACACTTTCTCTTCAAAAACCTCAATATCCCAGCCTTCAATTGTTTGTTGATCATCATCATAAATTTTAAAGTTTTGGGTGAATAGATAAATTGGCAACCCAACTTGGTGAAGCTCCGGGTCTGGGTTAAACTAGTTAAATTGTTAACCATCCATCTACATAAAAAAAAAACCTAATTAGTGTGTTTCTTACACACAAAATTGAATTAAGAATCGGTTATAGCTTTGGTTTTCAAATTCTTTAGTGGAGGTAAGGGTTAGTCTAACTTTGAAGAAGATACGTATATGGGTTATGGTTTTCGTCCTTATTTGTGTAAAACGCCATTTTGGTATTTTTTGGGAGAGTTTTCAAAAGTGCTACATCTCAACTCACCACAAAAGTAGTGTCATTTAATATAATTTTTCTTCTAGTAATTATTTTCATAATATAAATGAAACTATTTATTTATATTATATATGGTATTCCTAATTTTAGATATTAAAATTAATCTAAATAACTAAAATATTTAATTATACTTTTAAATATATTAATTAATTATGAATGAATCATTAAATAAGATATTATTAATAGTTATATTTATAATATTTCCATAACAAAATTTATTTTCAATATAATTTTTAATTAGGGGATTTTTTACTAAACCCTTGTGTGTTTGGCCTTTTTCTTGTGAGTACCCTCTGATTTCGGAAATACTACCTTAAACCCCCGTGTGTTTGACATTTTTTTGTTGTGAACACCCATTAGTTTTAGAAATATGACCCTAACCCCTTGTGTGTTTGACTTTTTTTTATAGTAAACACTTGCTGACTTCAAAATATTATCAATTCAGCCTTCAAATTTTATCAACAATTTCAATAATTTAGCTTCCAAAAAATATGTTGACCTGTTAACATTGTTGACAGATGTTAGATGTTAAATTGATTGAATAATAAAAACATTATTTCCATAAAAAATGAGAGTTAAGAGTCTCATTCATAAAACCAATGAGTGTTCACTACAAAAAAAGGTTAAAACACATACGTTTACCATAAATAAATTAAAAAAATTAAAAAAAAAACTTTTTAATTATTTACTTATTTAATATACATGATATACAAGATTAAAAAATAAAAAAAAGGTTTATCCCAACTTGGATAAGGAATCCCATACCTCTCATAAACTCCTTGTCCCAATTCATTGAGACTAAATGACGAGGGTGAGATTAACCGTAATCCTACCTCATTCTCCTTAAAACCTTGATAATATGAAGGATTGTAAAGATGGTGATACTAAACATAGTCCCATCCAACTCTCCTTAAAACCTAGATAATCATAAGGATTGAACTATTTTAAAAAAATAGTCCTATCCCACCTTTAGTCCATGTCCCAAACACAACTTAGATATACAGATGCCAAACCTACATGTCAATTCCATCTCAGTAATAAAAACATGTAAATATAAAACCGTACTACAATTCATTTCGGTACTGAGATACAACATAGACATAGTTAAAAAAATGTCATTTTGAAATATATGATGGGTAGGGTAATTAAAATAAAATAAAATTACATAATTAAGCAAATAAAGCAGTCTGATTGGAAAAGCTGTTTGTGCTTGCAGATCTGTGAGGATCCATTGGTGGCCGCCTGTTCCCCAACAAATTACCAATATTATTATTTGTTTTTGAACATGAGGGCCTTTGAGATGATGACTTCTTTGGAGGACATGGGAGATTGTTGTAGATGGCTGCATAACTTTTGCAAGACTTCAATTTCTTATTGTAAGGATTCTCAGGCTTTGCAAGATCTTCTAAGCATGTCACCTCTTTTAATGATGTAAATGACTGTGATTTCCCTTGGTAATGCTTTGAAAGCCCTCTCCTATAATTAATTCAACAATTAACTATATGATCAAAATCAAACAACAAGATAGATATAAGAGGTGAGCTTACTTGGAAGGAAGTTGTTGAAGAAGAGAGGACATATCCTGCAAAGGGTCTTTGATTTTTGGTGAAGAATTTGAAACTTCTTCTTCGATATCAGGCTCTAATGATCCAATACTTGAACCTTCAGACGAGATTGAATCAGCTTCTTCTTCTTCTTCCTCCAATTTAAGTTGGTTTAAATCAGAATATTTAGGAGGCAACTCCATCTTATAAATATTGGTGAGAGGTTTCTTCTTTTGGAATGAAAAGAATTTGGTTGGAAGCAGAAGCGAGCTGTGAATATATATATATATATATAAATGTTATAAAATATTAAAAGATTCGATTTTATCCACTTTAGTTTTGAGTGTCCTCCACCACCCTCTTAGCTAGATATAGCTAATCAGGTGTTTGTCAAACCCACCTTCTTTATACAGCGCGTACATTCAGTCTCTGTCGTTTCGTTGTAATTTGGGAGGCAATGTTGTTAGAAAAATGGGAAAAGCGCGTGAAGAATGAAATAGAAAAAGGGTGTCAGTGTAATTCATGGACATCGAAACCAAAACCACCCACTGATTCGGTTTCCAACTAAAAAATACATATCCTCCTTCCCTTCTTATCCAACTATTTATTTATTCCCCAAAAATCTTCTAATTTATAAAGCCTAATTATTGCAAATTGATTTATAAGAAACGCGCCGCGCCCGCGTACGGGCAAATTTATGTGAAAATGAGCCGTTCTGAAGATAAAATGAAATTATGAATGTCATAGGTTTGACTTTGACTCCGACATCAAGATATACAAAAAAGAAAAGAGAAGAAATCTAAATAAGCTAAGTTTGTCTCACTTTGTCACAACATCCATAAATGAAAATCCACATGCTGTTGGGCTGTCAACCATGAAATATATCTTACAACATATAATATATTATAAATTAATACATTCTTCAATAACATTCTCCTTTAACAATAATAGTTAATTAACACACACCATGCTATTAAACAAATAGAATGTTAGTAAGTAAAAACTTTTGAATTTGCAGCTACTATCAAAACCCACCCAGTAATCTTATAATGTTGCAAGAGTAGCATCTCCTGGCTATCCCAATTTAAAGCCACTGCATGGTAAGATCTCAGCAAAATTGAAACAAATACACTATATTTAATTTACAGATTAAGGTTTGGTTAGGGATTGTTGTACCTTTTTCCCATAATCACTGGCACCATTACGATTGCCAATCGACCATCTTTCCAATGATGCTGGTGGTTTATTGAAATGTTATGGCGTTAAGTTGCAACAAACCCGAAAAAGTTTGGTCAATATTTTTTTGGCTTGCCCCGACTTTTGACCAAATCCCCAATTAGGAGTGGGATAAATAATCCGAAAACCGAATTGAACCAAACCAAAACCGAACCGAAAATTAGGTTTTTTTACAAACCGGTTCGGTTTTCAGTTTGTGAAATTCAAAAAACCGAAAAACCGTCTCAATTTTTGATTTGAAAAAAATTTCAAACCGGTTTTTAAACCGATTTTACCCTAAATATAAAAGCAAAAAAATTATTATATATAAAATAATAAATATTTGAATTTAGGGACTTAAATGAAACATTGAAGAATTTTAAGGATTAAAGGATAATTTGAAAACCGGTTAACCGAACCAAAAATTTGGTTCGGTTTACATTCGATTTTTAACCGAAATCGGTCCGATTTTCGGTTTGGATAAACTGGTTCGATTAACCGGATTATCCCACCCCTATAGCCAATACCATTGCATAGATAGCTGGCCAGTGATCGTAATTGTGTCAGTAGTGTCAATCCACTCACTGGCAACAAGTTCATCGATGACAATTGTTGCCACTACTGGCGGTGGTTGGGCAGTTATGCCCTGTCCAGATTTTTATTATTTTAATTTAAAAAATTATTTATAATAAAAGAATTTTGATTTTAATTTTAAATTGGGTAATTTTGTAAATTACTCCGCTGAAGGCATTTATTAAAATCTAAAAGCTAGAAAATTCTACTTTTGTGAGAAGCTACAACAACCTTAAACTCATGAATTATAATTTTTTTTATGTAATATTAAACCCATCAGAATTTAGTCAAATAATCAAGTCTCTGGTTTGGGAAGTGCAGAAGATTTCTAAATGGGAAATGACTTTTAGCCTCCACCAATTTGATCAGTAGCCCTCATTATTTTATTTGAATGAGGTTAACAGGGTAATCTCATTTTATAGATGGGTCTAACCTAATTCTCCACTTGAAGCCCAGTTTACCATCCTATTAATTATTCTATTGTCCTCAGCTCATGATAGGACCTACCTCAATTGTTAAATGCTGGGACAAGCCAAGTCATCTGATTATACATTCCAGGCTATCGATGGGTTTCATTGATTCACTCACTTTCTAAACCCGAATCAATATAAGAGTACGAGTTTAAGCTCATCAAGTCTGTTATGTCTCAAAAGTCAAGCCTATGTTAACACAATTAATGTCTCTCTCTACCAATTGCCAAGCCCATATCTCTAAAGATATTCTCACAAACTTTATCTTATTTCAAAGAGATGAATGGACGAGAGCCTTCCATGTGTCAAGGCAGCTTGCAAAACACTAATTGCATTGAGTGCAAATGTGAATAAAGGGGCATTTCTCTTCCCGAAGAAGGGAGGCGAGGGGCTGGGCTGAGATTTAGCTTCAATTCTTTCTCTCTGTAAAAACACTGTATTTCTTCATCTTTGTATGCCTTACGGGCAAATTCATAGAAATAGGGAGAGATCAAATAAAATAACAATGGATGTATGAGTCGCTTGTTGCATCCGAACCACTATAAAAACCGCTCTTGCCAATCTTTCATTTATATTTTCTGCAAAATATATAATCTCAGCTCCATATTCAAATCTCATGGATCCATCACGTGTGATTCCTAAGTCCGCTTAGCGCTTCTCACGTGCGAGTCGTTGGCGTCCAAAATCAAGCGTCAATAGTTTGGTGGCCCATGCAGGTCCGATTCTCAAACCTGCATCAAAGTTCCTTGATGGCGTGCTCAGATCTCAAACCCACGTCAGAGTTCTCTGATCGCGTGGCCAGATCGTAGATCGCACGTGTTAGAATTCTTCGATCGCGCATCAGAATTCTCCAATCGCGTGGCCAGATCGCAGATTGCACGCATCAGAGTTCTCCGATCACGTGGCTAGATCGCAGATCGCACGCCCATGCCATCCTGATCCTCAGCTTCAGATCGCGGATCTTTAGCTTCAAATCGCGTGTTCAGATCACTGATCACACGCTGAGATCGTTGATCTCTTGTGCTCTTAGGTAGAGCTCGTTATGATCTCTCAAGTTGAGCTCATTTTGACCTCAAGTTGAGGTCGTTTTGCTCATTCAGGTCGTTTTGACCTCTCAGGTCGAGGAGAGGTCGTTTTGACCTCTAAAATTGAGGTCGTTTTGCTTTTTGAGCTCGTTTTGACCTCTCAGGTCGAGGTCGTTTTGCTCTCAAGTTGAGCTCGTTTTGCTCAGATTGAGCTCGTAATGACCTTTCAGGTCATTCTCCTACCAGATTTCAGGTCGAGCTCCTACCAGATTTCAGGTCATTTTCCTAACATATTTCAGGTCGAGCTCCTAACAGATTTCTGGTCGCTCCTAACAGATTTCAGTTCGAGCTCTTAACAGATTTCTGATCGCTCCTAACAGATTTCTGGTCGTTTTCCTAACAGATTTCTGGTCGCTCCTAACAGATTTCTGGTCGCTCCTAACAGATTTCTGGTCGTTCTCCTAACAGATTTTTGGTCGCTCCTAACAGATTTCTGGTCGTTTTCCTAACAGATTTCTGGTCGCTCCTAACAGATTTCTGTTCGAGCTCTTCAGTTCGAGACTGCAGCAATTCAGATCAAAGACTTAGTTTCTGAAGCGCGATTACGCACTTCAAAAACGGGGGGCTTCTGTTATGCCTCAAAAGTCAGCCTATGTCAGCACAATTAATGTCCTCTTACCATTCCAAGCCCATATCTCCAAAGATATTCTCACCAACTTTATCTCATTTCAAAGAGATGAATGGCGAGAGCCTTCCATGTGTCAAGGCAGCTTGCAAAACACCCATGCATTGAGTGCAAATGTGAATAAAGGGGCATTTCTCTTCCCGAAGAAGGGAGGCGAGGGGCTGGGCTGAGATTTAGCTTCAATTCTTCTCTCTGTAAAAACACGTTGTATTCTTCTTTGTATGTCTTACGGGCAAATTCATAGAAATAGGGAGAGATCAAATAAAATAACAGTGGATGTATGAGTCGCTTGTTGCATCCGAACCACTATAAAAACCCCTCTTGCCAATCTTTCATTTATATTTTCTGCAAAATATATAATCTCAGCTCCATATTCAAATCTCATGGATCCATCACGTGTGATTCCTAAGTCCGCTTAGCGCTTCTCACGTGCGAGTCGTTGGCGTCTAAAATCAAGTGTCAACAAAGTCCATACCTATCATTTCAATAATAATGTTGGTTCAAATTCATATGATAATTATTTATTTAAAATCTAAAGAGAGACTTCATTACAATTAGAAAAGGAAACCTATCTAATAAATAGGTTAGTTAAAGTGTAAGTTTGTATGATTATACTTAATGTTTTTAAGTCAATTGATCAATGTGGACAAAGTTTTGTTGAACCACACAAAATCTTATGTTCTTAACTGTCTGGTTGTGATTGCTTTTATTTTTCACTTTTCACTAATCAGATTTTCTTTAACAAGTAAATTCCACCAAAAGCATAGCAACTCATGAAATGCATTGATGAAAGTAGACCCAAACATTCAAAGTCATCTCCAGGATAACTGCTGGAAACATTTATTGTACAAACTTATTGGTATATATATGCATACAAGCACATTGATAGCATGGTGAGAAGATGACCTAGAAAACAATCTGGATTCCAAGCAACCCCATCAACCGAGAGATGAATTCTGGGTGTCCTGGCCATGCTGCTCCAGTAACCAAATTCCCGTCAGTAAAGCAATAGTCTATCGGATCAGGTTCTAACCAAGTTGCTCCTGCCAACACCACATTAAGCTTAACGGAAGGGTATGCAGTACATTTCTTTCCCTGTAGCTCAATCAGGATTAATATTCACAGTATGGTTAGACAGTTTTGATACTATGACTAACCAAACAAACAAAATGACAATATTTGGACAGGGAACAATACAATAATGTATGAGTCTTTGTTGCTTTCCCAAATATTTTACTATATTGTATTTTGTAGTTTAAAAACACAACTAAGTTTAACCGAGAATATAGAACGGATTGG